TTACAGCTCCTTCTTGATTGTCCATAGGCGAGCACTGTAATTCTAACTTTAGTAAATAAAATCTACAGTGACATCAAACCATATTTTGGTGAGCTGAAATTTATGGGATTTTCTTTGTGTTTTCACAGTATGTGAAGATGAGAGCTGGTAACAAGAAATATTAATCTGTTGGTACAGGACTCAGAAACATAGTAAAAAAATCAATGAAGAGTGCTTTTACCACCTTTCATTCTCACCTCCGTCATTTAGTAAAGAATATCAATGTATCGGGTAAAGGGAAGAAGACAAAGAAGAAAATGACCAGAGCTGTAGGATTATTGAACAATCAATGTGAAATAGTGGAGGATAAACTGGGATATACAGTTTGGTTCCCTGAGCCAATTTTTTTTTAAAGATTTTATTTATTTTAGAGAGAGAGAGTGCATGGGCAAAGGAGTAGTTGGGGACGGGGAAGGGGGAGAGAGAACAGGGTGGGAGGAGAGGCACAAGGCTGCTCCATGCTGAGCATGAAGCCCAACTTCTCATGAACCCGAGGTCATTCATGACCTGTGCAGAAATCAAGAGTGGGTTGCTCAGCCAGTTGAGTCACCCAGGCACTCTGCCCCAGGCCAGATCTTCTCAGGGAGATTCTATTCGCCTTCCACACAAAAATAATTCTGTCCCTAACCCTCAAATACTATAAAAGCCACTTAGGCGTAGGGTATCTTGGAAATTATTGGAGACAGAGAACATGACTGTGCACAGATGCTTAAATTAATGCAGCCTAAAAACAATCCTGTGACTGGTTTATGACACATTTACATAAAGGCAGGGATATGGAATTTCTAGGCTCATTATCTTGGTATTGAGATAAACTCCAGCGAATTAGCTTAATCAAATGTTTCAGGCTTCTAGCCCCTTTTGACTCTTAAACACCCAGCTAGGGTCTTATTTTTGTTGATGTCTCATCCCAAATTAAGTCAGGTAATGAGTGACCAGAAACAGATTCTTAATAAAGAGGCCAAATCTGAAAAGCGCCATCTTGAAATGTAGTAAATTAAATCTGAGTTAAGTAACAAAAAAAGCAAAAAAAAAAAAAAGTCCATGTCAAGTAAACTGTAATTAGATAACCATAATGTCATGATTATGGAGGTAAAGTATCCCTTTCTGTGGGATATGTAACACTGGGAAGTTTTGAGCATCTCAAATAAATTGGAAAGAACTTGCACATGAGTAATAAATGAAGGAGCTGGAAGAACTGATTTATGGGGAAGATGAAAAGAATTTAACATGGATAGCTTGGCTAAGTGAAGAACAGATCCTTTGATTAATAACTATGCATTCTTGAAGTGCACAAGCACTAAAAAAAAAATCAGTAAGCTTCTGGGTGTGGAAAACATGAATAATGGAATCAATTAAGTACAGGAAAATCGGCTGAATATAAAATGTAAAATATCTATTTCTGGATATTTCAGATGTGCCTCTTGAGGTACTTTCAATGTTAAATATTTTCTAGTAAAATGGATAAGTTCTTAATATTTTCCATCTTTTTTTAAACAAAAGAAGCAAAATCTCCCAAGGGTTTGAAGGGATGCATTTTGTTCACAGAGACAGGGTGGTTAGATTATGGGGTCCATGATCTTTGGAATAAAATTTCTTGAATCTAATGTAGTTGTTCCTAAAGCTCCAGAAGGGGTTCTACTTTTTCTCTGGGAAATTTCTGTCAGGCCTCTGAGAGTGGCCAGGGCGTTGGCACCCATTGGTGAAGCATGGCCTGAATGCACATTATCACCTCTTCAAAGGCATCTGGTTCCATTAAAATATATTAATGAAATATGTCAGCATGGTTAAGCTAGGGGTTTGATTTCTGAGACATAAGCTACAAATCCACCTGCTGTGGTGAGGAATGAATCCAGGGATTCCAGGAAGGATGGCACAATGGTTTAATACACATACTCAGGTCTCTGTCAGCCCAGAGGATCTTGAAATCTACTTACTAACCATTTAATCTCAGGCAAGTGCCTAAACTTTCTAGGGCTTCCTCAGTTTCCTTTTCTGTGAAATGCTGTAGCTCCAAGGGTTGTTGTAAGGATTATGTCAAAGATTATATTTATGGAGCTTATCACAGTGCCTGATTCTTAGCCCGTGTTCAGTAAGTCTTAATAATTATTCTTGCTGTTACTAGCCCTGTCTTCTATCCTGATTATATCCTCCATCCATGAATAAACCTGTCCTTCCAAAGTTGAGGGCCAGTGATGGGCCATTCTAGAGGGAGTTCGGAGACAGAAGATGTTGTCATCGTTCCATGAGAAAGCCTGGGGGTATTTCACATCAATATATGTGATGGTAAACCCTCCACAGTTTCAACTAAAATCTGAATAGTCTGGCATGTCTAAATTATAATATTCTGATAGAAATTCAGTTTTATTACATTTCATTATGAATAAAGTCACTTTATTTCTCTTCTTTTTTATCTCCAAGTCTTAATTTACTAGTTTTATTTGTGTTCTTTCTGTTACTAGATTTTTAAATTCTAATTTATATTCTATTGTATTGTAGTAGTGTCTGGTTTTATTATAATCTACCCCAAATCCTTTGGGAAGTAAGGATATAAACAAATAAATGAGATATACATAGCTGATCTCCAAAGAAGACATAAAAATGGCCAGCAGATAAATGAAAAAATACTCCATATCATTTATCAGGGAAATACAAATCAAAAACATAGTAAGATACCACCTTATGCCAGTTAGAATGGCTAAAATTAACAAGATAGGAAACAACAAATGTTGGCAAGGATGTGGAGAAAGGGGAACCCTCCTACAGCGTTGGTGAGAATGCATCCTAGTACAGTCGCTCTCAGAAACAGCATGAAGGTTCATCAAGAAGTTAAAAATAGAGCTGCCCTCTGTCCCGGCAATTGCTCTACTGGGTTCTTACCCCAAAGATACAGATGTAGTAATCCAAAGGAGCACCTGCAACCCAATGTTTATAGCAACAATGTCCGCAATAACCAAACTGCAGAAGGAGTCAAGATGTCCACCAACAGATGAATGGATAAAGAAGATGTTGTTCATATATATAATGGAATAATACTCAGCCATCAGAAAGGAGAATACCTACCATTTACACCAACACGTATGGAACTCGAGGCAATTACGCTAAGTGATGCAAATCAATCAGAAAAAGACATCGCATGATTTCACTCATATGTGGAATATAAGGAATAGTCCAGAGGATTATAGGGGAAGGGAGGGAAACCTGAAGGGAAGATATCAGAGACTCCTGATGAGAAGAATGAGAGACTCCTGACTCTGGGAAACAAACTGAGGGTTGCAGAAGGGGAGACAGTGGGGGGACGGGGTAACTGGGTGACTGGCATCAAGGAGGGCACGTGATGTGATGAGCACTGGGTGTTATACACAACTGATGAATCGAAGGATTTGATGGACACGACATCAACAACTAATGATGTATATATGTTGGCTAACTGAACATAATAAAAAAATAAAGTATAAAAAGATAATCTAAAAAAAGAAGAAATATACATAATTGAAATACCTACAAACCAAATTATAAAATATAATTTAGGAATATATGCTTATGGTGTTAAAGAATAAAAGAAATTCATGTCCATGAAAAATAACAAATTAAGGATGCTGATTCACCTTGGAGGAAAAGAAGGGGAATTTGAGGAGAATCCAAAGGTCTGTAGCGATCCTGGAAATATCTGTAATGGATATAGGGAGGTAAATAGAGTGTAAGCTTCTGTACGATGATACAGTTTTCACTCTGAGTGATCCTGGCAAAGATGGCATGAAGACTGACTACTAAGACAAATAAGATCATTCCAAAGGTGACGAGAACTCTAGAGCACCGTTGGCTTTCGCATGTGTTGCTCGTGACTTGGTTCTCTGTGCCTCAGCTTGTACCTTCTGATAGTGCTAATGTTTCTTGCTGGTATGAATATTTTCTGTCCTTATTATTTTATTTTCTGGGAACTTGTTGTACATACAAGGGTTCTATTAACAGCTCTGACATCTAAAGTTTTTAACACCAAATGCTTTACAGGCACCATCTCATCCAAATACTACTTACATTTCTTTATTCTCTTCTCTTAAAATCTTTGTGATTCTATACTCAGAATCAGCAGAATTGACTAAATTGAAAGACCCTCACTTCTAGGAAGGCTGCTGCAGCAATCACGTCAGACACTGGGTTTTTAGGTACAAGGTGTTGTTGGACTGTCTTGCCTGGGTTAATTGTTGTGAGGGCATGGTTCTGGGTTAGGAAGACCTAGAAGAGACACGATTGAAAACTAGAGTCTAGAACTGGAAAATAAGGATCTTGGGAAAAACATGTAGAATGGGAAAAGAGATCAGGAACACAAGATAGGATCTCTTTGCTAGGCCCACTGGGATCAATGGGCATGGGATTAAGTTTGGAATTGAATAAACATCAGAAGTCAGTCAGATGAGGATGTCAGCATGAGTCACATGCTCACAGACACACAGCTGGTCATTGGGAGAGCTGGCTTCAAATCTGAGTCTGCCTTACACTAGAGTTCCTGTCCTGTATTTCTATGTTATGAACTTGCATATGTAGTTCACAGTTAACTTCTTTTTTTTTTTTTTAAGAAAACTTTGTGGTTTTATCATATCATGAGGCATTGAAACGTCTGAACAAATCAATATCGGGCGGTGAGGCAGCTGCTTTCTCCTTCACTTCTTTGGGTTACTAGAGGAACTTCTCAGTAGATTAAAAAAAAAAAAGACAACCTTTTGCATTACTTAAGTCTTTCTAAGGCATGCGCTGGTACAACACAAACTTCTCCTGTCGGATGCAACTAGTCTAGCATCCAAACATGATGCACAATATCTCGGTAGCAGCAGCGCACTGCACCCGCTCCCACCGCGGCCCTGCTCATTTGTGTATGATATCTGGAGCATCAGGAGGAGTGAGAATTGTATCAGGAAGAGGAGGGAGGAGGAAACAGCCATGAGTGCCTGGCTGGGAGGAGGTCAACTGAAGTTGTGCAGGGCAAGCCTGAACATGTCATTGGTGCAAACCCAAGCATCGTTGATGTTCTTTAAGAGGAACATCTGGTGGAACCCCATGATGGGGTCTTCCTCAGCCTTGAGCTGGCCCACAACCATACTGATGATGCAGCTATCTGGAGTGGGCTGATGGTCCTGTGCCGTGATGCTGTGCTGGATTTGCTGGAATGGAAGGCTAGACAGCTTCTCCACAATAGCAGCTTTCCCCTGGAACTGTTGTCCTTCCCACGTAAGGCATTTTGTGTCAATATAAATTGCACCTAGTTGGGTTCTGTTGTTATCAAATAACTGGTAGTAATGTTGAATGAAGCTGGATCCAGTCTGCTCCCAAATTGGCTTGTCTCCCATTTGGAGCGTCACCCGGCCTCGTTGAGACCCGAGGGCCTGGCACGATGGCGGCAGTGGCAGTGGCGGCGGCGGCCGTTCACAGTTAACTTCTGCTCAAGTGAGCAAATATGTAAATCCCTTCACTTGTCTATTAAAAACCCAATTTCTATCCCAAGTTCCTATTGTTTCTGATACAAATATCATCATGTAGTTCTTATCAGGGAAACTTAAGTCATGTTAAGTTGCTGTCTGTCATTTCAGGTTTGAGGTTATTCAACTACACCCCTCTTGTCCCTGGAGTTAATGCTATGCTTAGAAGGCTATGCAAATGGTGGAGAGAGGTCTATTTCATGATTTGGATTTGTCTTTGTCCATTCATTTGATCATCTGGCTTATCTCCACCATAATGGCATTTTAACATTCTCAGTTAAACCCTAATGGATGGGCCACTTTGTAGTCTCTGCATTGTAGTCTTTTCCACTATAATTTCTCTATAACCCACCAATACTATCTTCTGGCCAGCTGCTGCACCCACTCTGGGGGACTCCAACAGCCTTTGGGTGCACCCCCACTGATTCCAGGGCTGAAGGGATCGCCTGGGTTGTCCCCAGCCCTCTCCCTTTATACTCTGGGATGGTCACAGCATCCTAGCACAGTCAGCTGCTTTCCAAGGACTTGACCTGAAATTTGAGGCTCAGCTCTCCTAACTTCAAATCCAACAACTTGAACAGAGGGCTGAAAGAATTTGTGGGTCCCCTTGGAGGTTAAGCTTGAAGAAAGGAGGGGTTAGGACACAGTCTCCCCACCTCTCTCATTTATGATTAACTCCCATGGCTTGTCTCTATCCTGTCTCTATAAACTTTTCCTCCCCAGCCCACAGCATTCTCTATCTAGACTGATGTGGGGGTGAAGAGTTAAATCAGGCTGACATCTACTTCCTAATCCTTCGGTCTTATTCATGGATCTGAAATATTTGAGCTCACCTGTTCAGCAGTTCCTTTTGAAACTCTTAGAGCAAAATGGCCTGTGGGCTCCCAGCCTGTCAGGGTGGGTCAGTTCTGTAGGGGGCTGAGAGGGAGCAAGGCTCTAATCAATGCTTGCATATCATTTTCCAACTTCAGTGAAATAATTACACCTTGTCAGAAGCATCTTTTTTAGGGGAGGTCCCAAGCGTTCATAATAGTATTTTGTAAAAGTTGCTGATGTTGAAAGTTTGCCTAAATATCTAGGACTTCATAAGTTCAGTAAAAGTTACTTAATTTGCTGTTCTGCTGTTACATCAGGGACCTTGACATTTAAGACACATAAAAGGGAATAATTACGTAAGTTATAAAATTAACAAGTACTGTGGCAGTTCACGAAATACCTGAACCAAGTCTCTCTTAGTGCAGGTGTTGTTTCAAAGGTGAGAAAAAATTTGGCATTGACAAGGGATGTTGATTGTGTGGGCTTGTGCTACTTACACTATCAATCACCCCTGTGTGCACAGGAAACAGTTCTGTCACAATCATCTTTCAGGGATTGCCCAGATCCCTTTTGTTCATTCAAAACGGTTTCATTCTTGACTCTTCCTTCATCTTCCATATCGAAGCAGAAACCAAATTCTGTCTCATAAATATTTGTCCTGGCTTCTTCATCCCCATTATTATTGCCTTAGTTCAGACCCTTATCATCTCTTGTTCAGAATATTATTACAGCCTCTAGTCTCTTTCTCCCTCACCCTGTGTACACTCTGCTTACACACAAGTGTTCCTTATAAAATCCAAACCTGATCTTGACTCTCTCTTTTGAAAGCCGTGATGCCTGTCTGCTGCTTACAGAACAAAATACTAACCCTTGAACAGGGGGTGCAAGACACTTCACTGCCTGTGTCTACCCCATGTCAGCATGCGCGCAGACATGCTTTCTCTCTTTCCATAGGTTTTTATTGAATGCTTTATGGAAACAAATATGGGCATAGTTTCTGTCCAGGTGAGAGTGTGAGTGTGAGTGAGGAGTAGGTAGAAAGGAGAAAAACAAGGAGAGACGCTTTAAGGTGGGAATATGCAAAAGATACATTTCTTAGCTAAATCCTTCCAGGAAAATCGAGAAGGCGCATCTTCCACTACACGTAACGTATCTTTTCCAACACACCTTTAATTCACCTGTTCCAGAGGCATAATCTTTCACCTCTGCTAGGTTATGATTTTCTTGATAAGCAGAATCTTCTTTCTCATTTTTGTTTTCCCGAGTTGTCTAACACAGTTACTTGGAACATTGTGGCACCTGTAATCCATGGTTGAATTAAGACACTGTTCTGGTTTTTACCTGACATAAGCTGAGGTTTGGAACTACACTTGCTACTGAGTGATGTTCATTTTAATGACAGTTATTTATGAAAAAATAATGTATTTATTATTTCTCCTTAGTACACCCTTAGAGTTTTGCCTTCATATCTTTTAAAATTTTTGAGCCATAGGTGAAAGTAAAGAATTTACTCATTCATTCTCAACACCTAGACTCTGTACTTAGCATTTTCAAGAGATGGGTCTCAGATATTCATAGAAAGAAAAGCCTCCTGATTGAAAACAAACTTAAGACAACAGAGGAAATACTGTGACAATAGCACTGAGTGAGTAACTGAGAAAGAAGTCAGACTGATCATGGAAAGCTTCCTGGAGAAGGTGAGCTTCTAGCCTGATTTTGAAAGAAGGAACAAGTGAAGATAGATAGAAGCAAGACAAAAGAACATTCCAGAGAAAGCAACCTTAATGCAAAGATGAGTATATGGGGCACAAAGTGTGGATTGGTTAAACAATAGTGAGGAAAATGTTTACCTTTTTTTTTTTTTTTTTTTTAAAGAGCTTGGTGTGCCTGCTTATTTATTTATTTTTTAAAGATCCTATTTTGGACTTATAAGGCATTTAGCAATTTCTTGATTGCCTGGATTGATAGAAAAGGGGTTTTTAAAAAAGACAAGAAAATTGGGATCTAGGTAAAATCTCCTAGAAAATGAATTAAATTAATTTTAAATGCATAATTGTCCTTTTCTTTTTGAATCAGAGTTTCAGAATACAGTGGTACAGTGGACCGTTATTACTACCCACCTAGCTGCTTTCCCTACTTCTGGAATCATATTCCCTTTTGGAAACATCTCCAATCTCCACTTGTATCAAGTGCTCCTGGAGGAAGTTTTGCATCACAGTAATCTACCTGCTGGGTCTAGGGGTGGGCAGGGAATGCAAGCTGAGCCAGTCCATTTGGGGATCTCCCTTTGGGTGATGGGTGAAGCTGGGAGATAGGAAGTGAGGAGCCATACATGGTTCTTAACCAAAGCCAATCTGAAGGAAGGAATTTGGAACTCAAGAAAGAAGCTAACTTGAGACATTGGAGAACATTCTGGTTATTCTGGGCCCCACCCTGATGTTCTCTAACGCCACCTGCAGCCTAGAGCTATTCACAGCTGACTCCCTGGCCCCTAAAATGTGCCCTTTTGTCATGCAGGTTTAAGTTATGTTTCTACCTTTTATAGCAGAAACTGATCTCGTGAACTTAGTGACTTAAGATCCACAGAACCATAAAAGAAATATGTTATTGTGAGAGGCTCTCAAGAGAGCAAACCAATTTTCATTTTCTACTATCATCAGTACTCTGATTCAAAAGAAGCCTGATTATTTTTAGGATAGTCTAGATTAGAACACCACTATCTCAACTTCTAGAAGAGGAGGGTCATTAAGAGTCATCTTCTCCCATCTGGGTCTATCATGATGCCAGCTTTCTCAGTGTGGTGAAAAGGCATTAGAGCATAGAAAAGAGAATCTGTTTCCTGGCAACACAGAGTCCAATAGGCTCTTGTTGCTTTAGGTGCATCTGACATTCTACTGGGGCACAAGTGGGCCCCTGCAGTGGCCAGATTGTTTTCGTGTTTTATCTGTTTTCTTTTGGAAAAGGTTGCGCTCTCTCTACTTTGTTTTGTGATGTCTAGGGGTACTGTGTTTATGTGGTTTTTGGCAAGCGTACTTGACCCTGGATTCCTCAAAGTGTCGTTCTCTGAGGCAACAGAATGTGCACTAAAGGCTCTTTTAAAAATACAAAAGGCTTTTTTGGGGAGGAGGTAGTCCTTGATTGGTTAAGGTATAATTATTTGTCAGGAAGAATATATTATTACTAGGACATTGTGGAGCCAGAGCAAAACTTAAAAAAAATTCAGCAATAACAACTCCATGTAAGAAAACTAGACAGATGCCTTTTGATGATCTAAGATTTGTATCACCATTATCATCTTTGCATTAGATGTTTATCTAGCAGGATTTAATGGAGAACATCTTGCCAAGATTTGGAGACACCAAGATGAGTATATGTTTTCCAACATCTATGGGATTGAAATCTTGTACAGAAGTCATGGCCCATATTGGTATAAGCAGAGTGTGTCTGGGCTACACAGAAAAAAAGAAAATAGTGAAAAAACAAATACCCTAGCCAGTAAGACTTCTCTGGCTCTGCTATATATAGTTTGGCCTATCATTCTCTCCTCAAATTTCTCTCCATTGGTTCAGGAAGCTCCGAGGAAGGATCTCACTAGATTTCTTGTCTACTAGGTTGATTCCTAAAGGTGTTCCTCATGCCTTACTGGGGCAGGTCTTTTGGCTACCCTGGGAGACCACGATGTTCTCTCTCCTGCTTTTGGTTCTTCAGGGATATCTCTTGCCAGCAATGATTTGTAATGTTGTCCTCTCATCTGCTTTCCAAGTGTAGGTCAGTTTAACTTCCTAATCAGGCTTCTATGGTCTTCCTTCTCTCAACTCATGGATCTCTGCCTCCTGGGTGATTGCCCTGCTCAAGAGAGGACAGTGTTTTCTATGCCCACTTGATGCTCTGGTCTATTGCCTGCGTTAAAGAGAAGAAGCACTTTATGCGTTCTGGGCCTTACAGAGATCTTCATAAAACAGCACTTTTATTTATTTACTATATAAACTTTGAATCCCAGGGATTTCAGCTGAGTTCTGCAGGGGTTATTGGGTAGCATGTGATTGATGGCCCAG